TCCACGAGCTACAACCTAGTTGCGAAACGGGGTCCACAGCATCCTCCTCTTCCTCCTCCTCCATAGCACGAGAAGACCAACATCGGGATGTGGAACTGATGATCTGGCTTCACCAGCTCTCTCAGCCTCTCACCTACGTCGTGTAGACATAGTCATGCGCTCGCGCTCGCGCTCTTGATGTTCAGCCTCTTCACGAACTGCTCGCATAATTGCACTTGATTTCCCTTTGCCTGCCATCTGTTAAATAAAACACTATTAACATCAGTCTAAATAATAATAATAAATAAAATAAATCTTAAAAAAAAAAAATGAACCGTGCTATTTCACTGTCATTTCGTGGACAAACACAAGAAATTAGTGCCTCCATTTCGTGTAAGAACATACGAAATACAAGCACTAATTTCGTGTGCTTGTCCACAAAATGACAGTGAACAGCCAAAACACATACGTTTCGTGTACAATTATACGAAACAAAAGTTTACATTTCGTGAGAAATCTCACGAAATGTAAGCTTGTGTACGTGTAATTGTACACGAAACGTAAGAAAAACAAACAAATACGATTATTTCGTGTAAAAACTCACGAAATTAGCCCCTTAATTTCGTGAGTTTCTACACGAAATGTAACTTTATTTCCGAAAACTTTCGAATGTTTTCAAAATACTCAAAACGTATAGATTTTCGACGAAATTTGTTAATATACTACTATAAAAACATTGGATCAATGATTTCGAGTTCGAATTTTACCTTAAATCGTTGTTGAATTGCTCGTTTAATCCGCAAGAACTCGAAGAACCTTGGATAGGGTTTGAGAGAATTTTGAATTTTCTTAAGAAAAGTTACAAATGAAATAAAGTCGCACTGCAAGCCGGTAAAAGTTATTCTATGAATAGCATTTCAGAAATTAAATATAGAGATCAATCAGTAAATTCACTTTAGTCCAACGTCATAAGAGCTCGTTCAAGTACCACTATAAAGTTCTACCACTAAATATTACTGGTTAGTAACACGTTAGGTTGACAAAATTCATATATATTCAAATCCGCTACAAAAATTAAAGTCCGCTCATAAATGCTATTATTTCATTACATTAGTAGCACTCATCCCCTAAAATTAATTTAATAGGGGAGGACTAAACAAATAAAATATAATTTTTTCTTCAACCTACATGTTAATTTTGTTATATAAAATATTTTATAGACAAATCACGTATAGTACCAGAATTTAAAAGATTTTATACAAGATCCAATCCATTGAATTGAACATCTTATTAACTAACTAATTAGTAAAGAATTAATCCAATCTTATCTAAATCAAAACTAATCTGATATAGTTAACTGTAAAAGCCCTTAGTAATATTCAACGAAAGAGCTAAAATTTAAAATTAGAGTCCATATAGGTTGATGGCTGCTCCCCTAATAGGTTTTTAAGATTTTAGCAGAAAATAATATATATATATATATATATATATAAGATTTAAAAAAAAAATGTTGGAAATGTAATGTTTAAAAACCAATTGGTGAGAAATTTATAAATTTTTATTCTCGCCATTACGGAAATTTTGTTGATGTTTTAGTAAATTAATCATTCTTTCATTTAACTAATAAGATATATGTATAAACATATATACAATGAATAAAATTAAATAATATTAAAGTAAGAGAGACTCATATCTTTTTAATTTTCTTAGGGCCCTGAAAATGGCAATACTTATTTTAATTGGGATGAACTAACAAAAATTATAATAAACGATCGGATCGAATGACTCATTTTGAAAAAAATTAACTTTAATTTGACTTGGCTTACTTGTTAATTATATTGAGCTTATCATGCTATATATTTCATTAGTTTCTTACTCTTTCTTGATTAATGGCACTCAGTTTGGATATGTGCACCCAATAAGAGGTCTTCACCAAGGCACTCCTTTTTTCCCATATCTTTTCATCATTTTTGCTGAAGCTTTAATTTCCATGGTACAACGAACGGCTGGTGAGGAACGACTACATGGAGTCAAAATCGTCCCATTGGCTTCGGTAGTTACTAACCTATGTTTTGAAGATGACACCCTCTTTTTATGTGAAGCTAACAGGGTGGATGCGGGTGTACTGAAACATATTTTGAACGAATATGCACGAACCACTGGGCAAGAAATTAATTTTGAGAAATCGACGATGGTTTTTAGTCCATCAACTTCTTCGGAGGTAAAGAATCATATTCATCATAATTTAGGATTCCAAGTCGTTGATTGCAACGAAAAATACCTTGGTATGCCAGCTTCCATGGGCCGAACGCGAAAGGCGGTTTTTAGTTTTCTCAGGGATCGAGTGTGGGCGAGAATCAAAGGTTAGGGTGAGAAGCAATTGTCTAGGGCGGGAAAAGAAGTGCTAATTAAATCCATCCTCCAGCCTATTCCTTCGTACATAATGAGTTGTTTTCTAATTCCTCAAGGACTTATTCAAAATTTATAATCAACAATAAAAAGGTTTTGGCGTGGGGATGGGAAAGCTCGTGGAATGGCGTGGATGTCATGGGACAAAATGTGTAAGGCAAAGGCTATTGAGGTTATGGGCTTTAGTGACTTGCACAGTTTCAACCTAGCTCTCTTGGCAAAACAAGCATGGAGATTGGTGATGCAACCGAATCTTCTATTCACTCGAGTTTTCAAGGAAAAGTATGTTCCACAGGGGGGATCTTTATTCGGCGAGCATTGGAACTCGACCCTTTGCCACTTGGTGAAGTATTCTTACGGCTATGCCGTATTTAAGGTACTCGAAGTAGAATTTGAGACGAGACTAGTACCTCAATTTGGGAAGAACAATGGCTTAAGGATGAGACTTCTTTCAAGGTGATCACACGAAGACCGATTTATAATGGTTTTCCTTATAAAGTGTCAGACATAATTGATCAACCAACTCGCTCTTGGAATATTTCGCTGATCAATTCTACATTTTGACCAATCGATAGAGATCGGATCCTTGCAGTCCCAACTGGCAGTACATATGCAAAAGACAAGATGATATGGCAATATACGACGAACGGATATTTTTCTGTTCAGACTGGCTACCATTTAACTTTGGCAATGCGGCAGCAGACATAATTAATGAGAAATAGAGGTGCAAAATCGAATAGTGGAACTCACATAGTGAATGGAAAGAGATTTGGCAACTTCCTATTCCCCCAAATGTTCGTTTATTCATGTCGAGAGCATGTTTATACATCTTACCTAATTTTGCAGAGCTTTATAGTCAGAAAGTTATACAGTCTCCTCAATGCCCTCCGTGTGGACAAGTAGTGAGACTACATTACACGTTAATGAATGCAGAGATCTTAGTAAGGTTTGGGAAGCTCCTCCTTCCAATATTTTCAGTTGTGTAGATGTGGATCGATGTGGTGCTGGTTTGACTATCTCAAACATCATCTTAGCTCGGACCTTGTTTCACTCGCGGTGATTATCATGTGGTAAGCATGGAATAATAGAAACATCGAAGTACATGGTGACAATCTGCCATTGACGAGCGAGCTGACTAGCTGGAGCATGTCCTTCACAAAGGCTTTCCGCAACGCGCAAAGCCCAGCTACCGTGGTCGAGAAATAACGCACCCGAGCTCCTGGCTTCCATCTCAGACGGGAGTCATGAAGGTTAATGTCGATGCCGCTTTCCCCGAAGACAAGGATTATTTCTCAACCTCGCTGGTGGTGCGGGACTGGAATGGAAATTCATTTACTGGAAAGCACGGAAGTATCTTGGCAGGACACAAGTTACTGATGGTGAAGCTCGGGCAATAGTAATGCACTGGATTATGCAACTACGAAGGGTTGGAGATCGATTATGATTGAAGGAGACAATATCATGTTGATGTAAGTTAAGGATCTGAGAAAATGAAAGATATTCTTTCCTTTATAGTTTATATGTAGCATAATTATATCTTAATTATAGAGAGATTTGTGGAGTTAATTGCACACACCCCCTATGAAAAGTCTAATTACCGGAAAAGTGCATGTATTAAAAAAATTATCATATATCCCCCTATGATGGACTGTATTTAGCCTCCCCTTATCCATATAAAAGTCGTTGACTGTTGTGAAACTACTAAACTACTCAAACATATTCAATAGAGAATATGTATGATTATCAATATGAATAATAATATTAGTATCAATATGAGAATCGGTATTAATATCAATACTAGTACAACATTAGTATTAATATTAGTTTTGTATTTGACATCGTGCATCGTACCGGTGAAATACTAGTTATATAATACGCAAGCATACATGTGCAAAATGGTCAAACAAAAATGGAGCTAGGTGCTATTTAACTTTATTATATTGAGTTAATTGCACACACCCCATGTGAAAAGTCTAATTGCCGAAAAAGCCCATGTATTAAAAAAAATATCATATACCCCCCTCTGATGGATTGTATTTAGCCTACCGCCCCCTTATCCATATCAAACCCGACTGTTGTGAAACAACTAAACTACCCCTAAAAAAGATAAAGCAAAAAAATCTCCACCCAAAAAAATATGCCCAAAACCAATTTCTTATGTTTATATTTCTGAATTATTATTTTTATTTTATATCTTTTAATAAATTTTAATTTTTAGTTCTTTTAGTTGGAAGTTTATGAAATAAAATATGTATTAAATATAAATAAAACTTAAAGATGTCATATTAATTATTTCATGTTATAAATGTTTTTTGTATTTTTTCGAACAATTTTTTAAACTTTATTTGTAACGAAATTTATAATATATTTATTTTTATTTTTATAAATATTATATATTTCTTTAATTTGTAATTATAAAAAAAATTAAAAAAATATATAAAAAAGAACTCAAATATAAATTAAAAAAAACAAAAAAAACATATTAAATATAAAACCCAAAAAAGAAAAAGTAAGAAAAAAAGTCATCTTCTCGTTTCCCATCCTAAGCCTGCTCCTCCTCAGCCATTCACCATCTCCGCCGCCTCTCTCTCTCTCTGTCTCTCCTCTATGCTCGAAGGAATGGTTCAAATCAATGACAAATTCCTGTTCAATTGAAGCCTTCTGCTTTGATTCCGCCATTAATCGACGAAATTTATTCTGCAACTTCTTCCCCATTCTTCTACGTTTCGGCGAGAAAAAAAATTGTCAAATTAAAGAACTAAGGATTGAACAGAATCTTAACCACTGTTTGGGGTTTCAAGGACTCGTTTCTAGAGATAATCATGGCCTCGCTTCCCCGGTAACTTTTT